ATGAAAACAGCCATTTTTCACAAAATGCTCATGAAGTAATGGGTTAATGAAAAAAATCAAAAAATCTACAAAACAACAATTTTTCTTCAAATTTATGACAGGCCATGTTTAAACATGAAAAAAACACGATTTAGGGTAATTTCAAGTATTTTCATCATTTTCTATTAACCCATTACTTCATATACACGCCTTTTAACGCCTTTTTCACCCCCCCCCCTTTTTTTGTTGTCTCAAATGATGAAAAAATGCCTTATTTAGGCCCCAAACACTTGTTTTTGTTTGAGAAATGTTGTTAAAAAAGTGACCTCTTTTTCGGCGCGGCCCCCCAACCAAAAGATACATCAGGGGGTTGCCAGAAGGGGGATGTGCCTCCTTCTGTTTGGGGGGTATGAAGGGGGGCGGTGTCTCCCTCAGCGCCAAGAAAATTTTGGACTTGTGAGAGGCTGTAAATGACCCCAGGTTGATCATAAGGTAACGTGTAACCAACGCTGAAAAGCATTTGACTCTATCTCAATCCATTGAGAAGTTGCAGCACTTTGAAATCAATTTTGATGGAAAAAAATCAACGCAAAATTGTGATTTTTGGCAATTTTGAGATGTCCCCTCGTTGCCATGGTAACAGAAAAATTTAAGCCTGAGCATGTTGTTGCAAGGGCAATGGTCCAGTCAACATTTGTGCCAAGTATGATTAGTGTTGAAGCAGTTTTAATAGTATTATAGCAATTTGAACTTGTAACGGGAGACTTTTCAATGAAAACAGCCATTTTTCACAAAATGCTCATGAAGTAATTGGTTAATGAAAAAAATCAAAAAATCTACAAAACAACAATTTTTCTTCAAATTTATATGACAGGCCATGTTTAAACATGAAAAAACACGATTTAGGGTAATTTCAAGTATTTTCATCATTTTCTATTAATGAAAAAAATCAAAAAATCTACATTACAACAATTTTTCTTCAAATTTATATGACAGGCCATGTTTAAACATGAAAAAACACGATTTAGGGTAATTTCAAGTATTTTCATCATTTTCTATTAACCCATTACTTCATATACACGCCTTTTAACGCCTTTTTCACCCCCCCCTTTTTTGTTGTCTCAAATGATGAAAAAATGCCTTATTTAGGCCCCAAACACTTGTTTTTTGTTTGAGAAATGGGAGACTTTTCAATGAAAACAGCCATTTTTCACAAAATGCTCATGAAGTAATGGGTTAATAATACTTACATACCAGGTTACTTCTCTTTCTTGAATAGACAATGTAATTATGGTAACAAAAATGTTAAAGTTATAATACCGTTAAACGATAATTTTACCCTACAACTTAGTTTTCAGAAATTATCACCTTAATCATAAGTATATCCTCATTAATGATGAACTGCTATACAATTTTAATCTTATTTCGCCGAAACACTCGGATGCAACTGGATATAATATCGCCAGTTTTTGAAATCCCCGCCATTTGTAAAAGCTCTCGGGCCCGATCGGTTTCATTCGGAATTAAGTCATTTGCATACGGAAAAGTTCGGAAATGCTATAATTAGAAACAAGTTCGGAAACGCTATAATTAGAAACGTCAACAAACTTGCGACCCCGATATTAGGAGATATATAATATAAATGACGGATGCAATTTTATTTGATGTATTGTAATTAATAAACGATATGAAAAGCTATTTATTAGCTAAGGAATGTAGCTTATATCCTCGTAACGCGTTACGAAACAATCGGAAAAAGAACAAAGTCTGAGACTCTCACTAGATCTACAGTAAACAAGATGGAGCGTTGGTCATGTCTATGTCGTACGATTGCTGTGGTTATTTGAAATCGGTAAATTAGCCGTTCTTTATGATCGGTTCGTACCAGAAATAATACGTACCTATTGCCAAGCTTCCATCGTAGTAATATGGCATACAGTAGTGTGCGTCATGTAAATATTATGAAACACAGACACTTGGGCTTTGGTGCTCAATCTGTATTATATTATAGATGTTGAAATATGATTTTTTTTCAAAACGGCTTATATTAAGTTTTTTTATTATTATTTTAAAGGCGTTTTGAGCTCCAAACCCAAGTGTCTGTGTTAGGAAATTATAATGAAAAGAAATATAATTTGGCAATCTGGTGTAATAACCTGTATAGGGTGTTACCAGATTAAATAACCAGTCAACTGCATGCAAAAGCCAATACATATTTAACATCTACAGACTCAACCGTTTGATATATGATAATGTATAATTATACTTCAATTTATAAGCAAACCAGAATGGAAAAAGGACCAAGTTAAAGTTCTGATGCCTATAATTTTGAAAATGATCACTCAAGACCTGTTTTTTATGTTAGCCTTTTGTAAAAGTGCACATTATGGAAAATAATGTACTAATGAGAATTTCATTCCAATACAAAAACAGTGAAACCTAGGTAAATATTATTCTGTTAACAATGAACAGTTGCATTCCACTGAAAATAAGATTGCCAAGAATTAAATCCTAATCTCTGGATTATGTACACCGGTATGGCATAAAACCATAAATTTCACCACTTTATTTTCAAATGTTGAATTCTGCTAAAGCTGGTGCTAGGGGGGCATGGAAGGTAACTTGCACTTTCCAACAGGCTCACCAAATAGAGCCTGCAACAGTTTCAATTTTGTCATTTTGGGCTTTCTGCAGGAATTCTTTATTTCTCTATTTTCTGATGTCAAATGTACTTTTTTAAAATTCAAATAAGATCACAGATTGTAACAATGTTTTACAAATACCTTTCCATGTTAATTTACACTCCACTTCTCTTAGCACGTTTCAGGACACATTTTGGAATGTTGTTAAAATAACAAAAACACAGATAAATTGAAACATGTATTTGAACATTGGCAGTAAAACAACAATAAAATATTTTCAAATGAACAGCATATCTTCTTTTTCTTACTCTTAAAATTGTACACCAGTGACTTCTTTACAGTTATAGTTTTATTTTTTATTCAATCCATGCTGTATTAACAGGAAGAGAAAGTGTGAAGATGGCCAATATTGTAGAAGGAAATAAATAATATCTTAATTCCAACAAAATTGTATGAACTTGAGCTAACCCCTTATGGGTTTCTGGTGATGAAGGATATTATGCTTAAGCCATTGTGACCTTAGACCTTATTAACTCCAAACTAATGCTTAATTACTAATCTAAGCAATGTCCCTGGAAATGTTCAAAACCTTGGGACAATGAGTTTACATGTCACTGAGACCTTGAACTTATAATCAAATGGACCAATCTTAAAACTAATGGCAATCAGAATTTTTCCTTGTGAGTTACATAAACTATACCTTACAATGTTACACATATTTAAAGGAAGTTAAACTTTATGCCATCTTGAGATTTAAATCTAATTACCTCAAAATCAGTTGGTGCCATTATCTGGGGAAGGGCAATGTTCCTACCAAGCCTAAAAACTTAGGCTTACCCCTGAATGTAAAAAATTGTTTGTTCCCCACTCCCGCAACCTACCTACAAATAGCACAGCTACCTAAAATATCTTATTGCCCAGGATTTGTTTACTAAAATGAAATCAGAGTGTCAATGAGAATGACATCTTTTTAACTGTCTTAACTAAGTCAAGGGAAATAACTCTACAAATACTGGATAAATCCACAAGCCAAACCCCAGGTGCAAAACTAAATATGCTGAGCAACCTTCCCGTAAGGTTTAATGACTCTATGTCAAATCCTTTTTGAGTTACATGTGACACAAGTTGAAAACTGCAAAATTTTACCAAGTCAAGGGCAATAACTCTAAAAATCCTAAATAATTCCAGACGAAAATACCCAGATGCGCAACTACACATGCTGATCAACATTCCTGTAAAGTTTCATGACTCTAAGTCAAATACTTTTTGAGTTACATGCGACACAAGTTGAAAATTGCAAAATTTTACTGAGTCAAGGGCCATAACTCTCAAAATACTAAATCCATACGAAAATACCCAGGTGCACAACTACACATAATGTTCAACATTCCTGTAAAGTTTCATTGCTGTAGGTCAAATACTTCTTGAGTAACACGCAACACAAGTTGAAAATTGCAAAAATTCAATGGCAGTAACTCTGAAAATACTAAAAATATCCAGATGAAAATACCAAGGTGAACAACTACACTTGCTGATCAACATTACAGTAAAGTTTCATGACTCTAGGTGAAATACGGACGGACAAGGGTAAATCTAAATGCCCGCCACTAAAGTGGGGGCACAAAAATAAATATTTTATCAGCCCACCTATCCTATCTAAAACTGGAATGGGATGAGGGAGTAAATACAAAGATAATTTTAAGGCTTGCCTTGTTTGATTGAACAAGGATTTTATATAAAATGCCCCTGTGTCATTGGTCTAATAAACTAGATTGGACTACAAACAACTCATGGACTAATAACAACTAGATCTCCGCGAGTCGGATGTGTTGCCTTGTGAACAATATAAGTTAGGAGAAATGGCCAAGACAAAAATGAAATATGAAAATTAACAAAGGGCAATAAAGTTAAAACCACTAATAGCAAATAACAAGCAAAGCCAAAATTTAGACATTTCACCTTGAAGGTCAAGGTCAATTATGAATGAAGGCCAAGGTTAGACAATACACTAAGAACTTTAAAAGTTATGAACAAGGTTCAAGTTTGCAGAAGGCAACGGCAGCAACCTCTTTTTCTTTTTTTCAAAAAAAAGAAAAGAAAAGAAAAGCTGAGCTAAAGTGAATGACATAGTACATGTATATCAAAAGATATAATAGAATAATACTTTTAACTTCGTTACTACATTAAAGCTCATAGCAGCACTTATAGTTTAATAGATTGGATAATATTTTGCACTTGAATAAAAAGGAGTCATTTTTCTGACAAAATATTAAAAACAGACCTTTAGTCATGACAAATGAATCAAAAGAATTTTGTGCCATACAGTGCCATATCTAAAAAGATATTTCATAAAACTATCATGAATACCAGGTGTTCAATGTCAGTTTAAATATGTTTGAATAGTTGGGCAATCAGTGTAACACACTATTTATCATTCTTTTCCAAAAAAAGTCAATCATATCTTGATTTATGTTCCTCATGAATGGCTCGGGTAGGCTTCGGGCTAACTTGGGCCAAATATTTTGAAAGTCTGTGGTGGGTCTTCTTCCTCTAACTTTCTATTTTATATATCCCCTCCATGTCACTAATTGTCAGAGTTATAGCATCATGAAAAATAGTATAATGATACTTTTTCTTCTTCTTTAATTCATCCAGACTCGCTGAAGTCTGAAATGAGAAATTAACAAGCCTGTTATAACAAAAATCATAAGTGTATACAATTCTCAAAATGCATTACATGTAATTATGTCCTCAAAATTTATTAGTCAGGTCAGGTCAGAGACTGCAAAATCTCTTTTGTCAGATTGAAATTAATATTATATAGGCAATTTAAATGCATAGTGAACACACTTTCAATAAAAATATCTTATAATTCATAGAGGCAGGAACATTTAATACTAAGTTATGCAGCATTTATATTCATATGCAAAAATGAAAAAAAAAATGTTGAGAATCTATATGCCCAAAGAAGATATTAAGCACAACATTTTATTTAGGTTTTGCCTCTTTATTTGTTTGAAGAACTGAAATCTTTCTATTGAAATAAACAAAGAAACATGCTACATCCATATTAGACTCAGTACAGAGTACATCTATGTTGAACATTATTATAGTTCCAAACAATTCACTTTATTAACACAAACTGGACACTGTTTTCTTTCATTCTGTAAAATTGTGAAACATTACATGTTGGAGTTTTGTAAGTAGCGTACCTAACAGATCCCCTTGTTGGTGATGTATGGTCTATTTGCATGTATATTATAATCTATGGCTGCAAGAAGATTGTGTATCCTATAAACAGGTGGTGTGTAAGCAAATCTTTTGGTACAATACATCAAGATGTGCTGTTGAAACCCCTACATGCCAGCTGTACTTCTAAAAATGAATACAAATAATGGAAAGATATTTTCATTTAAATGATTTTAGTAAGGAAAAATCCTTTAACATTAACATATGCATATGCTAGATATAATCTCTGTATGTAAATAATTATCTTTGAAACGATTTTACACAGCTCTATCCTTCAATTGATAAGTGCAATAAAGGTGCCAATTAATTTATACATAATGGTTGTAGGTCCATTTGCGTTAACATTATCATATAAAGGTGCTGTAAACATTGAACATTCTATAATCAATAGACATATGAGCTTTGTATTAATCAGGACATATACTCCTTTCCAGTTAGGAAAATAAATCCTTTTAAAAATTTCACTCCAAACTGCTAGCATATCTTAACAAAGATAGACATATCTCATTTGCAGAATTAATGGTTCCAACATTGGAGCCATTGGCTTCAACTTTTTTGATTGGCCAATCTGGTGGTGCAAACTAAAATTACTCCAAGAGGAACCCTGTCAATATAAATTTCTTTTATTGTACCTGATGAGAACATACCTGCAGTTGAGATATTATGTCATCTTATTCAGAACACCAGCCAGATCTTTCAGACTATGTGCATCTTATTTCCTTTGCAGCCATGGTTTGTTCTGGTTTCTAATGGGCCATAATTGTACTAGGCATTGGTGTATTCCATCATCTGAAAACAGAATCCATTCATGCTCAATAACTATAAGATTGATGCAGACACTAAAATATATTATTCCCTGAAATAAAATATCAAGACAAATAAGCATGCATTAAAAAATGGCAAAGAAGTCAGCCTTCAACAAGTTTTATGAAACATTACTAAGCATTTCACATTTTACATATTAAATGCTTACCATAAACCTATGAAGTATTCCACATTATGCATCAAAACATCTTGCATGCATTGATTTTCTTGCAACAAATGATAATTATGTATTGCTATCTAGAATTTTATCTAAATACTTCTTGAGCAACAGAATAATCATATAAAAATATCAAACATTCAAACAAAATCAAATATATAATAATTGTTTACTTACCATGAATAGTTTATAGTCTGTAGCAGTTTTATAACTAAACCAGAAATGAATGGTTGTGTCTCAATTCAACTCCAAAAGGATTTTATTGGCTTTCTTTAGTGCTACCTGAAGATTAAACCATAACTTGCTTAAGATTTAGAAGAAAAAAATCAATTGTGGAATTCCTTTTCATTTTAGCGAAAAATATTCTACATAAGAATTGTATACAGTATATTGTATATTCAGTCTTCACCAACATTTACTATATAGGACATGAATCTGCCCTTGTTATTAACAACAAATACAGCAGTATTGCATGCAGTGATAACACCAGTCTATTAAAAATTCTTAGTTTAAAAGGGATATATAACTTAAAAAAATATTGCTTTCACAGTCATTGAATTTAAGATTTTGAATTCACTGGCCCCAATTCCAGTTTTGAATTTATTTTACTATATATTTAACTACATTTTCTTAAAATTTACACTGGCCCTAACTAATTTTCACTGGCCATGGGCCACCGGGCCAGTGCTAAATTCAATGACTGCTTTCATAAGAACATGTATGTTCCCCTGTTTAACAATTACACTTTGTCCTGATAAGCAAGTCTTTAAAGTTTCATGTTGATACATTTCAAAATATTTAAATAATGCAATTGTATGCCAACATAGCAATCTGACATAGAATGTAATAGCTTTGAAAAAAAAGAGCTAGAAATTAGTAATTCATGATGTTTGATTGTAACTAAGAAAGTATACTCCACTTTTGAGGAATCTGTAACTATTTTGTTGTATGGTCTGAGAATTGACTACATAACAGAATCCTTTCTAAAAACCACATATGAGCCGCGTCACGACAAAACCAACATAGTGCGTTTGCAACCAGCATGGATCCAGACCATCCTGCGCATCCGCGCAGCTTCAGGATCCATGCTGTTCGCTATCAGTTTCTCTACTTGTTATAGGGTTTGTAAGGGAACAACATGGATCCTGATCAGACTGCGCGGATGCCCAGGCTGGTCTGGATCCATGCTGGTCGCAAAACCATTATGTTGGTTTTGTCATGACGCGGCTCATATATATTTTTTTACAAGTGGATTTAAGACCTATAATGACCCTCTATTATTTTTTCACCTCAGTGAACAATTACCTATAATAATATTATGGAGTCATACAAATATCAAACTCATCATTTAAGATGACACCAAAATCTTTCAATTGGACCAAAATTAACCATGTAATGCATGTTTTTTTCTTCTTCTTCTAATAGTATACAGTATTATATGCCACTTAAAAAATGTCATTATTGTTTAATATTTAAATCATATGAATATCTGATCATGATATATATGGATCACATATCCATTAATTGGTTCAATAAACTAATAAAAAACATGAATTCAGCAGTATTTAAGATTAATCAGTTTTTATATGAATTATATAAGTAAATTAGTTATGCAAGTATATAGTTTAAGTTATATAGTAATTTTGAAAGGTATTATTATAACCTGTCACTTTCGACAAAAATGGTGTACTTACTCTCCTCTGCATATGCACTGAAGTCCAGGTCATCTTTGATGTCCCTGGTAGTGGTATTGCAACACATGATGACGATGAAATTGATTTATTTCTGTAATTGAAAATGTAGCATACTAATACCATGGCCTAAAATCTTGACTATTCAAACCAATTACAATACTGAATACATGAATTGCTGCACTGCTTATAAGGAAGAAGGGTTGTCAATAAGAATTATCTACCGTTTCCAGCACAATTATGGTTATTGTCCATGATTACTTTTCAAATTGTGAAATGCTGAAATTTTACTGCAAAAATGATTCAAATAAGACAAAAATATTGATTTTTGTGCGATTTTCCAGACAACATTTTATTTTTTCTACTTTATGATATATTTCTTTTAAGATTCGACAACCCTGGATAGTAGATCAATATATCAGACTTACGGGCTTGTTATTGCTTAAATGTCGGTCAAGGTTGCCCAAAAGCAAAAATATCTCAAAATCAAAGGACGTCACATTTATAGGACTACCCTTGATAGTTGAACATGCTTTGAAGAAATGCCTGTTCTGCTAGTCAATAGTTCTAACCCTTTTTGAGACACATGTGGCTAATCTATTTCACAGCATTGTATTTACTATACAGTACTGTACAGCTTACATTAAAAAACAATAATGTGATTGGAAAATAAAAGTTATTCAAAATATAATTTTGTTGTGTCTTAAATGATTCTTAAAAGATAGTGATTGGCCATCTTAAACGATATTACAATGGTTACAATGAACATACGCCATAAAATTGTAAAGGATTAGGCTCAGCCGATCTTTTATTTAACCTGTTAACAATTTATTGGTTCGAAAATGGGTCCGTACGAAAATTACAGTATTTCTCGTATACGTGACACACCTTTCGTATTGTCCGCCATTATTTTGGTTTGGTAAATCATATCACGTGACTCAGATCCGAACATTTACGGAAATAATCGAAGGGCTTCCCGCCAAAATATAAATCTTATTTGACTAACCCAGTCAAATAAGAAAATGCATTTTTTAGAATGGTCAGAAATGTTACGGAGAGCGTTTCTAAGTTGGAAAACTTTGTCAATACTAGTTAATTAATGCATTTGATAACAATAAGGCGTTCATTTGACATTCTGTTTTGATGAATTTGACCAGAAATATAACTTTAATGTTTTTATCTTTTAAACACAATATGTCATTAATTGTTGATTTATAACTTGTAGATATGCTGTTATGAATACAAATAATGTTTGTAATGAGCAGTTAATAGTTCACTGCTATAACTTATCATTTAAGTTATAAAATAACTACGTGTTATTAAACCATTTCTCATTATATGACAAGAAGAGAAAATATTGATTAATCTGAGTAATCCTTTACCTACAATCAAGGAAAAAATGTGAACGAAAGAAGAAACGGAAATTTTAGATGTTCATTTCAAAAATAATTTAAGTGATTCTGTATTCAGAATATTTTTTATCCTGTTTAGATTCTATTGGTTAGTTAGTCGATCATAAATACGCAATTAACGTAAAGTCTGTACAGTAATGTAGTTAAAGCAACATCTCTTGATGTAAGGTTAAACATGTAAAATGTAAAAATTAATAGTTTTTGCATGAGAAAGTGTGAACACCGGAGATTGTAAGGAGCATAAACTTTGCAGTATTCTATAAGCATTTAGATCGTTTTGTGTGCTCTTATATAGATTTTGGGTTTTCTTAGGAGACATTTCTTAAAGTGTTCCTGACGTTTAAGGAAGGAGGAGAGGGGAAAAATGGGGTGGCGGAGGCAGGCCTAGTTTGGTGGCGACCTTCGAACTATAAAGAGCCCATGGTGATTCAGTAATGTTGTCAATATTTCCAGATTATCATTTTTGGATACATTATATATGTATAATTAATACTTTTTGCTTGTTATACGTATAATTCCTTCCTTCTATTTTTTATCGATCTAAGCAGCATCATGAAATGTTTTGTTTTCCTCCAATTGACTGTTTTACAACGGGAAACAATTGTATTCTAGTGTTGCGTATGTTCAATATGGTTGATATTACATTTAAAACCGTTTTGGTATTTAAGTACAATTTTTTATTTTGCATAAATTACTCACAACATTACTTAGGTAAAAAAGAAAACAACGGTCACCAAGGTTCACATAGCTCCAGATATATCCTTGCTACACAGAAAGGAGGCTCCGGACGAAAAAATAAGATGGCCCAAATGGAGGTAAAAGGAGGGAAGAAACAGTTCGTTCAATAACTGTTACTGTTAACAATAAAAAAATCATAATAATTTTAAGTTAAAAATGTAATTTATCACATAATGCAGGTAAGGTTTATCTAGATTTCTACTTTTCAATATTAGAACAAAGTCATGTGCCTTGGTAATACATGTAAAACACGAACCTCCTTGAAAGTCGTATTCAAAGTGAGTTTTACATGTATTTTGAAAAATAAATTACACCACTCAATAAAGAAAATCGAAAAATCTTAATTAAAAACTCAATGCATATATCCATGAATATGAACTCTTCTATTAAAAACTTTATTTGTCTTAGGAAACACAGATCATTTTGAAGGGGAAAACAATTTTTTACGCAAGATAGTTATGTTTATCGTGATAATTGAATGCAATTGTAATGAAATGTAAATGATGATAAGTAAATAGTTCATAAACATTAATTGCTATAAAGTAAAGCCTGTAGGACATATGGATAGGGATAAAAAAACTATTAAATGATAGATCATATAAAGTTTTAATTTAACTGCGTTCTCGTAAATGGAACCAGATTTAATACACGTCTGTAAATAACCGGTCAAGTCATTTAGCATATAAAGACCTTAAAGTATTTAGAGCAATATTAAAATTAAATGATATAATGTAAATAGTACATAAACATTCATTGCTAAGATAAGCCTGTAGGATATATGGATAGGGATAAAAAACAATTAAATGATAGATCATAAGATTTTTTAATTCAACTGCGTTCTCATAAATGGAACCAGATTTAATGCACTTCTGTAAAAAAACGGTCAAAACATTTAGAGTATTTAGAGCAATATTAAAATCAAATGAAATTATGTGAATAGTTCATAGACATTAATTGCTATAAGTTTAGTCTGTAACATGTATGGATAAAGATAAATATCTTCATTTAAAAAAAAAAATCATAAAAATGTTTTAATGTCGCTGCGTTGTCATAAAATGGAACTAGATTTAATGCACGTCTGTTAAAGACCTGTCAAATCATTAACCATATAAAGACCTTTAAGTTAGAGTATTTAGAGCAATATCCGGTCAATATAGCGATCAGTCAATATTTACGTGGCTAACATAAAAAGTTATGTTTTATTAAAAAATAGTGATTTTTGTGGGAGGAATATATGCAGAAGGTACGGGATTTACATTTTGTCGAATATGATCACCCTGCAAACTTAATAAATAACAATATAGACTGAAAGTTTATGTAGTAATTTACAATCAACTGATAGACTATTTTGATAAATTGCACGTGAAGCGTAGCCGACCAGTCACGTGACGCTCAATGAACTTTCAAGTATACTGCTCAACTTTATAAACGCATACGCATGAGTAATACGCCAGCGCAGAGAAATCGTAAGAGAGATCTATCATCACCTGACACAAACCTTGAAAGCAACGAAAAATCTCAAAAGGTATTAGACATATCACCTAATAAATCATTCGAACTGTCTTCAATACCGGAATTAACAATGAGTAAAACCAAGTTGGATGATAATTCTCTAGAACTTCTAGCAGACAAACTTGAATATAGAATTAAACATGCCTTGGAATCTACACTTCATTCATCAATTCAAACAATAGTTGATGGTGTTATATCGGGTCTCACGACAAAAATAAACTCATTAGAAACTGAAAATGCTACCCTCAGAAAGGATATCGTAAGTCTTGAAAAGAGAGTACAAACTCTCGAAACTCAACGTGATGCCGACGACCAGTACAGTAAACGTAATTTTCTGGTGTTGAGGAAAGTACAGGAGAAAATCAAGATTCCCTCGTGATGAACATTTGTAACACCCTTAAGACTGGTCTGAGTCTTGATGATATTGACCGGTGCCATAGAGTAGGTAAACCTAAAGAAAACGGATCACGAGACATACTTGTAAAATTTATTTCTTACAGAACCCGCCAGAAGCTATACATTAAACGAACCGATCTAAAAAAAACCGAGCATGGATTACGCGGCACATACATTAACGAGTATCTGACCCAGAAACGTTCCAAATTGCTTTTTGAAGCCAGAAACCTAGCAGGTAATGGAAAGGTCCTAGGTGCATGGTCAGCGGACGGTACGATACTCGTCAAGATATTATCATCGGGCGCAAATCCAAGTGATGACAATCCTTGTACTGAACTTATCCGCATCAAAACCAGCGACGACTTAGCAGCTTTTCACTGATAGTTACAAACTTTTGTTAAACAGTGTACTATACGTAGTATATCGTAGTAACTAGTATATACCGACTGTGACTTTCTCATACCTGATAACTATTGAAGCATATTACTTTAGAAAAGTGTCCACCTAATTATATCATTGTATGCTTCATACTGTACTATGCTGTCAATATTCACTTATTATTATTAGTAAACCGTTTTACTTTTGGTAATGCGTTGATATATCCTTTTTTATAAACATGCGAGAAACAAGATTGTAAATGTTAATTCTTTAACAGAATTTAAAACACCTTGCAATGTATATGTTATGAATGTTTACTAAACTATTTTTCACCACTGTTAATATTCACTGATCAAAGAAAAACACACTTGTATATTAAACTTGAACATTCATATAAGTATCTTAGTTTAATACTGCGAAAATTATCGCAGATAAGTAAACTTCATCTTCCTATTATAAATAAATATTTAAAATTTACAACTTGAGCTATAGGAAACCTAATTGATTGATACTTTTCTGCGTGATTTTACTATTTCTTGCTACAGTTAAACTTATACGAGTTGTTTTTGCTAGCATCATGCATTACTTAATTAAATGATATTTGATAGTGTTGTATGTCAGTAATGTGTGACAACATGTTACTTTAATTGATGCTATTAGATGGTGTATTATTAAAATACATGTACAAGTATTTATAAGTATGCT